GACTATGGTCTTAAACTTTTGATCAGCTGAAAAAAATCATGTTTGAGTGTAAATGCAGTTTTCAGAAAATTCCCTGCTCAAAAGTTCTTGTGTCTTACACTGATTTCTTCTTTTAACATTGTGAAGCTCTACTTAGAACCTTCTTAAGATCAAATAGTGCAAAATGCAAATTCTTGCACTTTTTTGACTGGTCTTGCCACCACCGTGCTTCACTCTGTGGAGATGGTATTCTCACTATGACGAAGAGCAATAAGTTCTGTTTTAGTCTGATTCTATTTTGGGATTGCTGGGATTCGATCCAACAACCTTCGTGCTGTGAGGCAACAGCTCTATTGTGCAGGTTTCATGGATAGCACTGAGCATCGTCAGCATAACAATCAACATTTGTCCCATGTTCTTTAATAACTAACTAATGGTAGCATATAGCAGCACTGAGATCTAACAGGACAAGAATGGACACRAGTCCACTGTCTGACAGGACCAAACATAAATCAGGTTCTAGTGACACTAAAGCTGCCTCATCTGACAGAGAATCAGAGACAACAGCAGGAAGTTTGTTGTGAATTTTATCTCTAATTTAAAAAAATCAGTTAAGAATATCAGGCTATCTCCAGGTTAAATAAGATTCTTCAATGTTAGTGAAGCGCCATTTTCTCTCCAGTTTTCTAGATGCCTGTTTTAAAGAACGTAACTGAATTAAACCAAGGAGTCGGCTACCTCCGATCGGTCACTTACATTTTAGTGGAGCAATTTCATCAAGAGAGGTTTGCATTAAAGTTGTAATATTATCAACAAAATTATCTAAGTTACTGTTCTGTTACATTATTCTGTAAGACAGAAGAAAATAAAGATGGAAGAGATTATTTAAATTTAGCTACAGTGTTCTCTATGATAAACATCTACTATCATAAAATGTACTCAGTAGCTATGAAGCCAGCTAATGTAAACTCAACGGTCACAGCACCTTCATCCATCTGTTTGAATCTCCAGTAAACCTTTAGGCACACTTGCTTTTTCTCACCACAGCCCARCTGGTGCAGGTTAAAGTGCACAGATCCATCTGATCCTGCAGAAAAGACACTCAGCTGAGGGCTAACTAGCAATGTCCTGTTGTCCAATGAGTTTTTGTTAATGAGCCTCTTGGCATGTTTGATGTTTTGGAATCAGCTTTTCAGTTTATAATAAATTATATCTACAACTTTGTGTCTTTATCTTCTTGTTTGGTGGTGGTCCATAAGTATTGATTCAGGAGGCTTTCAGGTCACACACAGATTTCATTGGACAGCCTATAGCTTTGATTAGTGTCTGAAACGTCACGTTTATTTCTGCCCAGTTTCATTAMATTTTCGCCAAGCTTTTGTATTGATGAGAGCCTCAGACCACTGCAAAGTCTTCTCTGACACATTCTGAAGATTCTCAATGAGCTTCAGGTCTGGACTCTGTGGTGGCCAATCCACATGTGAAGAATAGGTCTCATGAACCACTCTTTCACAGTCTGAGCTCAATGAATCCTGACTTTGTCACCTTGGAACAAGGCCATGTCGTCAAGGCAGAGAAAATCTACTTCTGGAATAACTTTGATTGAAGCCAATAGTTTGATCCTTCTATAAACTGATTACAAGCTTTTCTACGACCACAGGTGGTCTTTCCACATGGCTGTTTAACAAACAAGAAGCTCCTGTTTGCATCAGTTAGGGTTAAATAACAAGCCAGGTGAAGGTCCTACTTGTTTGCTTGGCTGGGTGGTGTTTACAGGGTTCATGCAGGTTTCGGTAAGTTCAATTTAAGATCTTTTGAAGACCTTTTAAGACCATTAGTAATAACGTCTAAGACCAAATCGACGCATTAACAGAAACATTCAAATGGTCCCAGAAATTGTATAATAGAAACTTTTATTGCTATCAATTTAGTTATTAAAGAATATTTTAATTTTAATACAAGAACACTAAATTATTTGAATGAAACGGTCACGACTGCTGTGAACCACTTTCAACCAAGTGAAAAAATCACTGATATCAAGTCAAGTCTCATTGAAAACACACTTTCCCATATTTAAAC